CCTTGTTGTATTTAAACCATGCAATGCATTTTTGGTTTAGGAATTTATATATATATGACTTATTCAGTGCATACCCCCTTATTCATTCATACATCAACCGTTCTGTTTGTCTGATTGTCTGACTAAAGAACAAGCTTGTTTAGAAAATCAACCTTATCTAATAACCCCTCATGTCGTGACTTAATACCACACCGTAGGCAAATGTAATCGCAAAGATATTTAAGTCGATTAGCACTACAAAGTCAATAAGGATAAGTTGACAATAAGAACCTATCAGCCAAAAATACTAAAAGTTCCAGGGATTAATGATGGCCTATTATACTTGACATATTCAACGATGACCAAACAAGGTAACTATTTATTGAAACTCATTTTTCTTACTTTAAAACTAATTTCAAAAGTTTCGGTTTTCAGTTTAAGCTAATCAATTAATTTCAATTCTAAAAGTCAGTTTTATTTGTTATTCGATTAAATTTACGTATCGTAAACAACTTATGAATTTATAGTTCACCGGAAATTCTTGATGAATGTGACATAGATCAACCAACAAAAGAAATGCTTCTCACTGATATCAGACATCGATTAACACCAAAAGCAGTAAAGATTCGTGCTGACTTTGAGGTTTCGTGTTTCACTTATGATGGTATCGATGCTGTTAAGAGTGCACTTCGCTCTGGACTGGAACTCAATTCAGATTCCCTTCCAATCCGGGTGAGCTAGTTCTGTTAATCTAATTTTTATTTAGCTCTTTAAGTCGTTCAGATGTTAGTAGGGTTACAATAAATGTCGGATCAATGTATACAGAGATAAGGCAATATTATTTGTGGTTTATATGATAACTCTAAGAACTCATTCCTTCGTGATTAAATATAAATTGGAATAATAAAGGCATCAACTACTGATGTGTAACTAGAAAGGTCAGGAAACTCCGCCTAACGCTTCGATTGGTTTCAAATTTCTGTTTATTGTTTGGATTTGAATGGTATACATTGCATATCAGTAAGTGATGTGCATTTTAATTAATTGCAAGCATATCGTCTAAAGTGGTCAATGTGCATGGATATTCAAATCTGCTATAAAGTTTCGGAGCTGCAAACCAAGATACCATACAAAATGCTCTAAGAATTGTATCTTCAGATATGACAGAAAGAAGCTAGTTTCACCATTGAAATTACAAAAATAAAAATACTAAGTGTCTAGGAAACAAATTGTCAGTTACATAAGTAGGGTCGGTTCGACTGATTTTGAACACTCTCACTACATACAACGTTTTTCAACATAAGGATGAACGTACTAATTAAAGTTTTTTCCACAGTAAGTACTCATCTAAGAAATAAAGCAGATATTCCTAACAAATATACGGTTCATTTAAATAATCTCTTGGTATTTTCGAGTTGAAGTGTGCTTTCTATTATAGGACTGTGCTTAAAAGTCCAATTTACCTCCCTGTGTTTGATGAGCTGTTTTTCATCGACAACTTGGTACATAAACGTGGATATGGATATTGCGTTGTGTTTCGAACAAGAACTCAACTAACTTAAACTTTTTTACTCAGCACTCCTAACTGTGCGAAAGGTGTACGAAATTATGGAACATCAAAAAATATTGTAACTAGACTGTTCCACCATTTAAAAAATACGAAAAATTAACCGTCTGAGAAATCCGTTGTTTAACTTTCGAAATCAATGTAAAAATATAAATATGGTTCCTAAAACCCAATCTGTTTGACCAAGTAACTCAATATATTCAAAGCCAGATCCAGATATCAATAAGCAACTATCTGTTCATACATAAATTGCAATCTTTAGCCTAAGTGGAAGAGAATAAATAGCTGGACATGTAATGTGTCATTGAAGTGTCAACAAGCCTAGTGTTTGAACTTCCCTTTAAGTCACAATAAGCTGCTGAGCCTTAATATTTATATTTCCAGTGTTATGTATAAATCATGTTTGTGGAATTCTGGGTATATCGTGAAATTCTTGTTTAAGTGTGTTGGAATACATGTCATTTAATAAATGATTGAGACCCCATTTCAAAGCATAACGATCACATTTGATTTATCCATGAGTCTTTAAAACGTGATTTTGTTTGTTTGTTGGATAATATCTTATCTTCTATTTTTTTATTCATACAGAGAGATTGGGATAGTATTGTCTGATAAAGATGTGTTCTTTAGTAGCTGAAGTAATAATTGTTGACGTTTGTTGTGAAGCCTTGGTACTGTGAGCCCTAGAGTACCTTGATATCATTCTGAAGCTACTACAAAGTTATGACCTTTGGCATGTTACAGATTATAGGGTTGACTGAGCAGTTCAGACGTTTTTCAACCCAGTATCTTTTGGTGTACTCAGCAACATCAGTGTTCATTCTTTTCACAATTAATTTTAGATCAATCTGATAGCACCACCACTTTATGTACTGACCACACAAACGATGGATCGAGCTGCTGGCTTAGAACAGCTACATGAAGTGTTAGATGTCATCAAGAAATCGATTGAAAATCAAGGTGGTTCATTCAAAATTCAACAGGCTGTAAGTTTTGTTAGGTCTTTTAGAGTAGAATTAATTTATTTGTTGAATATCCCTACTGGCTGTATAATAATAGGATTAAATAAGTCAATACTCTTACTAGTTACTACTACTGATTGGGAGCGTATGAGCGTTTGCAAACAGTTTACCTTGTAATTGTTATTTTGTAAATCTTGATAAAGCTCAAAGCAGGAGGCGGTCGTTTCAGATTTTAATAATGTCATACTATGCATGCAGTTACTGTTGACGAAATTGTTTTATTTTTCAGCCTCGAGTTGTTTCAGATACAGATGACGCGGACTTACAACGTCAAATGGACGAATTAGAAAAAGCAAATCGTGAAGTTTCTGGTGATGAGGACGATGAAGACGAAGATGACGAGGATGAGGAAGATGATGATGAAGCATCGAATGATGGAGACCAAAATGGACAAAAGTGATATGAGTATTTATTCAAATGTATGAATAAAGTTTCTTCGCACTGATTTAAGATTAATCACACGGTTATGTAGCAGATAGTAAACCATTTACCGAATTTCGTTAATAGTTCGTCCCGCACATTCGAGAATTGATAACCCGCTTGACGAAAGCAGAATTTGTAGTCCCTATAGTCAACTATTATTATTTATCCTGAGACTGTGGTACTCACTCATTTGAAAACCTTAATTTTCCTGGAATGTTACCCGGATGTCGATAAGTGACGAGCAGATACTTACATAGTTATGCCTGTTACCCTTAGTGGAGCATAGGCCGCCGACCAGGATTCTACAACCTACTGTGCCTTTGGCTTATTTTTGCAGCCATTTGACTGGTCTTCACAGTCTCCCGCATTGTATGGACATTCCATGTACCTATATTGATTGTTGTTGTGGGTTGTCAGTAAAGGCATCAGTATTGTGATTTTCGAAGAATCTTAGTTTTCATCACGAGGCGTTATGATTTTTTTAGACGAAAATCCCTCAACTCCCAGGGCAGAGTTTAAAAGGTTTTTTTTACTGGTTAACGTCTTTTAGCAAAGTTGTTTTTTACGAAATGGAGCTGCAAATCTCGTGCCCAACTCTGTTCCTCTACCCGGACTTGGGACCAGCAGTAGCCCGAGAAGGGAAACAGGTGGGGTTGGCCATCTATAAATTAGTTAAAAGCAGTGAGTCCTCAGGTCACTAAGTCCTGTCTATAATTGTGTAATGGGATTGGTGATAGTCTATTGTGCATGGTCTGCTTATAGTCAGTTTCCGCAATGTATTTGTGTAGTTTGGTGGTAATCAGTATTGTAAGTGCATTTAGTGCGTCGACTTCAATATTTATGTCTAGTTAAACTATTGCTGCGATTAAGTACATTTCAGTCAACGAAACAGCTATCCCTGTGGTGTGAGCTACTTATATTCATATAAGTAGTATATAACGTGCGTTAAAAGAACGTAGTGTCCGGCAGCAGAAGATGGCGAAGATCAAGAAAGGAAGAGCAAGAGCAGAATGGAATTGTAAGAAAACGCATGTACAATGGAATGGGAGACAATGGATTAGTGTTTGCAACGGGAACAGTACAGTTTCATATGATGGAATGATATTTTGCAAATTGACGACTGACTTTATGGTATTCACATTTTATTGAGATAGTCTGTAATCTTTGTGCTAAATACAATCGATTGTCCCCACCCGTGTTCTTGTTCACTACATCCCGACCTTTGTTACTACCTTGACAGGGTAGTCGCACTTGCTCATCGTGATGAATCTGTCGAGCTATACTGGCTGGAACAACCGTTCCTCAAGGTCCTACCATGTCAAACAGGTCGGTTGAAGAGCGGTAAGACTAAAAGCAACAAATCCGGGGTCCAAAGGCTAAGTCGTACTGCTGACTGTACAGAGGTGTGAGGGTAGTGAGGTATTTCCTTCAGACAACCAGCATGACAGCGATGCTGCCTTCCCACAAGGAGGGGTGGGGTTGGAAACGGTCGACCCTAAAAATGCACACCTCGCCTTATCCCACGGATTTCTATCTCCAGTGGTAAGGTTCGAAGAAGTATGGAACTAACACGGAGATTACTCACAAAGAGGTCGTGTGTGACCGACCTCAAGCAGTTGTCCCTTGGGCACTGCGGTCACGCTCTCAGGTCACTATGACTTACTTTGTGCATTTGTTTTAGTGAATGTGCAAATGCAAAGTTGTCTGCATATTACACCGTTCAAGCATTGATATGCGAAGTGAGCTCATCTATTCCCGTAACAACTGAACAACTTGATGAGTAACATTAGAATTCTTAAAATGCAGATAGTAAATGAACATCCGTTTGTGTAATAATTATACAACTGTAATTTACCTTACGAATAATTCAGATCCCCTATTTGTTGGTAGACAAGACTCGAGTTCGTGCTTGATTCTAATGTATTAGTCACTCAATGTTATTTGCAAAATATGGGCAACTAGCAGTGGCTTTAAGCACATTTTACTTCCCTGGATGAATATACTTTTCAACAAGATTTTATTGACAGTTTATTACCAGATCATTTAAAACGACTAGCTTTTGGATGGGATTTATTCAGTTAAAAAGAAAAGCGAATTGAATATGATAGAGTAATCAACCTCACTGTTATCAATAACATCTTATGTTATTCCAATTTTTTGTAGAAATGAAACCATTCGAAACATGAATATTTTAGGTACAATCGTTTTTTTTTTGCTTATTAGGGCCACACCATTCACTCCCGGCTGACATATATTAAGATATTAACATAATAGTGAGTTAACGGAGCATATTCAATCAAGCTATTAAAAATGTTATCAGTCAAAAATAAACCAGGAATTTTTTGCTTGCAACATAAGCGTCGGAAATGGAAAAAAACGAAAATGACCAAACTAATAATGACTAGCTGACATCAACAATATTTAATTACAGGGAAAATATCATGAATGATTCGCTTCAAAAAATAAATAAAAAAAGTCAAATTCGTTTAATCGAAAGATATCAACTGTGCCTCTGCAGCACCCGACTCAGTATAATTGTTAGGTGCATCACTTGGATGGGTCACATCCTGTGTGTACCTGGGTACATTGTTTTCGTCCATGACAAGTTGGCTAGATGGATAAGTTTGATTCCCAGGGTAACCTTTTGAATCATCCTGTCCTGTATAAGTCGGCAAAGATGTCTGTATACCTAGGCAGAAAATGAAGAGATTCCAATTAGATGAAGCTGAGTTGGGTTAAGTATAACCAACCTACATGTAGTAGTCAAATCTTAACTAGAGGAGTGGTTAGCTTCATTAAAGAAGATTAATCAGGAGAATAGTTCTTGTGTGTGAAATTATGTTGTTAGAAAGGAGGACGATAAGTCATTCTAATAAAACATCGACAACTCAATAAGGCAGCCTTTACGGAGATTACGATGTTAGCGTCTTTGATACAGTATAAACCGAATTTCAGAAAAACTGTTTCAGTATTCGTACTTGGTGAAAGTATTCAACTTTTGAACAGGCAGTGACTCGAGATCGTGTGTTCGAGCGTAGAGACGATAATTCAATTGGTGTCACTATCTTGAAACATCGACTTCGGGGGCTTGTACATATTCTACAAATGTCATCCCAGAGAATTCCTCGTCGTGCATTATTCGCCGACGCTGGGACTGGTTGGGAAGAGCGGAGGTGGTCAGTGTATGACATGGTGTCGTGGTATGAAAGAAAGCTGCACAGGACTGACTTCTATTGGTCCTTCACGACTCACTGGTCGGGGTCCTAGAGATGCTACCAGACATGGCTCAGAATAGAAGCCAGTGGCAATCCTGCTGTAACCTTTTATTTTCTTCAGAAAAAGGGACCGTAACTTCTTTAACTGAAAGGATTTTTCTGGTTGTACCTTTCTGTTTCCCTTATTATTATTCCACTACCATACACTAATTTGTGATCGTTATTACTCTTTTTTTTCACACGCATCTTACATTCTTTATCTCTTCCCATTCTCATTACTATTGTGTGGCGCATATGTATCTTGTGCCCCCTTGTATCAATATTTGTGTTCAAATAAATAAACTTAATTGACTGAAACTCCTTGATGGACAACTTGGTTGCAAGTGGAGCAATCAAAAATTGTCCTTGTATCCTAGATGAGGATTTGCTGAGCCCTATTAGTATCTCGAAGAATAAATGTGATCATAATTATTTATTGTGGGTTGAATAAAGTTTAATTACCATTTCTAATAAATATCATTATCCAATACCCTAGAAATCAGAAGCACGCGTCAGAGCAAAACCTCATACGGTGGAAATATATTAGTCACAAAGTGAACTCTGCTGAACTTATATTCTGAAGTGACCATAGAATCATCACGATACTTGTTGTCCATATACGCATAACATGCGATTGCATGCATAAATTATGAAGTGATACGGGAGCAATGGAGCTAAAATAAATTAACTAAACATCCGAACCGATTATCAACGAGATATAGTCTGTACTATTTAGTATATCAATCTTATGTGAGGAAATATACATATGTATATATCAATTGTTACAATACATTTATGAACGGATATGTAGAAGGTACGTACTTTGCATCGAAAATGAGCCAGGTGGAACTGGATTTTGGTTTCCTTGAGAAAACGAAGGATGTGTTTGGATATTATGGCCAACTGGATCGGGAACATATGAATGAAATTGTGGTGTGTATGACATGTTATAACTAGGTCTACTAGCACCACTTTGAGTGGGGACAAGTGAATTCGGATCTGGAAATTGTGTGGCATAAACCCTATTGTCTCTTGGTAGGTAACCGTTCGGAACAGGTGGAAATGATGCGTAATTAATTCCAGATATATAAGGCAAAGTATAATTGGTTGGGTAACCTTCTCCAGGTGCAACAGTTTGTACACTAGAAAATGAATCGACGCCGTACGGTAAGGGTTGTTGTGGTATTCCGTATTCTTGTTGGTACTGCATATTTTGTTTTAGTGTCATACGTAATTTGTACTCCAAAGTGTCCTATGTGAAAATTTTAATATTTAAGAAGCTTTAATTAAAAGATCATGAAAAGAACAAGATGCAGTTACAAGCGAGTGTGAAGAAAGACTATGAATACCAACTAAACTTTCTGGTAATTGAACAGATCGTTTGTTGACTACCAGAAAAGATCTCGTTATATAAGTAATGGTTAGAAGGTTCGTATATTACGGGATATAGTGACACTGTAGAAGTGCAAAATCACAGCGATCTGCTTCAAGTACATCATTTAAGGATTTTTACAAAATTTTAAGGAGATTGATTTTCTTAAAGATTTCTAAAAAAACACATTCTGGTAGCAGTCTATTATAATCGATGTTAAAAGTACAACGCTAGATTAGAAGCATATCCAATGTAAATCAGAGAATAAGCAGATACAGTAAACACCACTTCATGCTTGTTACTAGATGTTAGTTTCCAGTAAGCTGAACAAGTTTAAGAGTTGACAGATCAACAAAGTGCATATTTTTTAGAGGCTGTCGCTGAAATTCTAAGCCGATGAAGGTATGGATATGGTTGATGCAAGTCAGTATTATTATAAGCAGTTAGTGATGGCGCAACAACTAATATTGTGAATCTTGCGACGTGAAAATGTTATATGGTTCACATAGATTACTACTGATTGCAAAAACATGTATAATACTATACATACTATGATGTTACTCGTTTTACTGTCTTTGCTCAAGGCAAAAAGCTCGTTTTTTTACTCGTGTGAAGCTATTATCGTTGGAGTACCATGTGTTAGCCATTCGATCTATTTAGTCGCACCAGATACACCGTCGTATAACAATAATTCCCCGTTTCTTTGTATTGGACCCCAACCAAGCTACACAAATTATAGCAATGCAGCTAGTTCATTTAATAGGTAAGTACTTATGTGTGTAAATTTCTGAAGATCGAAATCTTGACTGGTATATATCTGTGTTTAAAAGCTTTTTTCTGGTATTTGTTACTAAGCAGAACTGATTAAGAATGGAGTCATTAGTGCGACAGGATTTCGTTAAATTTATTGTTAATTGTCATATACCGAGTTGTAACAACGACTTTAGCTATTACCTATGAATTGATATTCCCGAGGTTGACTGAATGTTGGTAGACATGACCAACAAAAAGGAGAGCTCACTCCACAGAACTATAATCTTAAAGAGACATGATATTACTGTCTTACTATTTTATATGATATATGTTAATTATTTCGAAAATGTTAACCTTTCATAGTCAGATTAATTCCTGGGAAAAACATTTTGGTAGTTGTACAATGACACGATATGTAAACATGTAAAACCTACTCTTTTCTGTTGTCGCATAGCTTCCAATTTCTGCATTATCTGTAACTGACGCATACGAGCAGCTTCTTGCTCTTCTATTTGTTTGCGAACAGCGTGATCATGTCTTAATGCATCCAAAGCCTCACGAGCTTCACGAATCTGGTTAAGTTTGTCTTGCATCTTCTCAAAATAGGCTAAAAATAAAAGCTGTTGTGTGTTTATAAAAAAATCATTTTTGTATAAAGTAAATGTTGTATGATAGAGGATTGACTAGATGATCCATAATGACATTTTATTAACTTCAGTATGTTATCAAAGAAATCTAATGGAAACAAGTATGTTCTTTTTGTCGGGACTGATTTGTGTAAATGGCATGTGCCACTACAGGAAGTGAATTAGGCTAGTAAGTTGATTGTTTCATTTATCTTCGAACTCTCACTAATCCAAATGAATTCCTGGCTAACACAAGTGAAATAGGGTTTCAGTGATTTTGTTGACTTGTGTCACCGGTGTAAGTCCCATCCATTTCGAAGTGTTGAGTATACTACGTATCAGTTTAAACTACATCATTTCACAGATAGGTAACATGGTCTCGAACGTAGAAAATATGCACAAACTGCAAGTACTTGATAACAGACTTTCTTTTGAAGTATTGTTTACTTATGGTAGATCTCTGCGTAATGTTGAGCTCCCCTACATCTTTGGTTTTATTAATGCGTTTCAACTAAAACTACTATATTCACTTTTTGCTGTCATTAATATTATATTTATCCCGACTGTCGTTAATAATCTGTGGTGGTCAGAAATTTGGTGACTTCGGTCTATAATTACATCCATCTGATCCTAAAATGTTTTTAAGTGATTGTGGTAATATCTTCGCCAATTATTATGTGCCCTCAAATACCCTAGTACAGCCGATGTTGAGGAGAGCCCGCTTTATCTTTCGAACTGTTCTCATATAGTCATTTCCAGGGAAATCCTATTCATTGCCTTCTCGCGGCAGTGTTGTTTACGACATCGAGAGGCAAATGTCCGTCGCTAAAACCGAGTTGCTGGGTACAGATGATTAACCTAGGGGAGTTGGAAAACCCTGATTCCAAACCAATAGCGCATATGGGCTTCAGGATACTAAGGGAACAAATGGAGTATGAACCTATCCTTGGTCACTGGCTACCATGGAATCGCGTCTCCTAACGTTGCTTCACTATCTGGTCGATTAAACCCCTGGGTTGAAAATTCGGGGAGTGGCACTATGAGAAGACCACCTCCTTCATTTTGTCCACCAGGAAAGTATCCCAGTCTATACAATAAATTCAATTATTTATGTGGGGCATATATATTTTGGTTACCTTTTGTACCAATCTTTGTGTTAAAATAATAAATAATACTAATTATGTAGTTATTTGTAAACTAATTCCGGTTACAAATATAATATCTATTACGATAGGTTACCAAACACAAATGAAAAACCTGAACATATTAAAGCATTCACCTCGGCGTTCCTCCATGTAGTGTTTGTAGTCCATTAATTGTGGATGCATTTTATTTAGTGTCAAAAATAATGTTTGGACTGTTGTGTCACTTGAAATATTACGTCCTCTTTGACTATTACTCTGCAAACGATTTACGAAAAATTCGATACTACCACGTAGAGCATCAAGGAACTCTTCTTGTTTTGGATTAGTTAGATCTGGGATTTCTGATGAGTTGAGGTCTGTCTTACCGTTAGGATTAGCTGGATTCTGAAACAGATAGTTTGAATCAGTTAATTAACCTTCAACTAACTACAGTAAAATATAACAATCAACAAGTGCATATCCTAACAAAAGACCGATCCCTGAAAATTCCGTCGATGAAACTGTTATCCCTGAAAGCATGTATATGACAAAGTCTAATAAAAATGGGGAGATAGTACAATTCCAATGACAATTCACCTTAAGCTCTGACTCAACCACTGGTGTTTGAACATAGAGTTTGTAAAAGATTGATGTACTTCTTTGATACGTCCTTCAATGACAGACTGTCATAGACCCTTAAGATCAATGGAGTCGAACGCCACCTTTAGGTCAAGAAATACAACTATTGTCGGACGTCGAAAATTATATCAAGGTTGGTTGAGGGTCAGTTAAATGTTCCCTAAAGCATTCTCACTATCGGACCAGTTTCCTGGACTGAGGGCGAATAATAGCCCTGCCTTTTTCCGAGATAGTCTCACTAACAGCCGGATTTTTTATACCTGTCTGAATAGTTGTATACTGTTACCTATTACCTCTCCCATTGCTGTCCCTTTTGCTTTCGCCGTCCAACACTACTCACGTTCATTGAGTAAGATTTCTACCAGTCTGCTTTTGAACTTCCTCTTCATCGTATTCGGAGCCAGATGGGGTGTTTCCGAGTATCTATCTGTTTAATAGACGCTACAGAAACCTACTTATTTTTTAAGCTTTAGATTTACATTACCAGTAGATAGCACTGTTGTTTAGATATCATATCAAGTTACCTCGGGGTAGCTATAACTTGCCTGATTGACTAACTACTTCTCTAGTTGTTCCTGAAATATATTTGACTTTTTTATCAATAAGTTGAACGTTCCTACATCTAGTAAAACGCAGACCAATACATGCTCATACTGAGTCCAAACATGTGTTCCAGAATGGGCGCCAGTCTTCTATCGAACCTCTTCAACAATGGTTAGTGACAATGTGATCTATTTGAGCCCATGGTTGATTCGACTGTGGATGTCATCTCGTCGGACGACGTTTGTTCTTATGGTGCTTGTTAGAAATAAACAGTTATCTGAGTGTAGTTGCAGAAGACTGTTGTCATTATCTGTTTGCTGAAGCGCGACACAGTAAGATTTGCATAATGGCCTCTCAGTTTTGTTTAGTCTACCTACTTAGGTACTAAAATCACTTGTCGCTAAAACTAAACATCAGTCATTAGCTTTTTAAGAGGGTGGAAAGCTTTTTATAAAATTCATCTTTTATTTGATCCAAACTGCAACCAGTAGGTATGTGGGCAGAGACGATGAAGAGGTAACGGCTTGTGTCCCTATCTTCTCCATTTTTTATTGTCCCTTTTAGTCGGACAACGCACAAGCGACTGTCTATTTGAATTCCAACTAACAGAATCCGTTCTGCTTTTGAATTTAGTGCTATACCTACGAAAGAGAGGCGATGGGCAGTAGCAGCGGGGTCTCCAGGTACACGGAAAGTAAATCGAGTTGGTTCTTGACATTGACTAGATGATGTAAAGTGAACGACCATACTTGGACTCTGTATGCACGTCTTGGAGAAAACATACATTGATAGCGTAGAATTCTGGAGCCTAAGCTAAGGAAACCAGTTGTTCTATCTGACACTGGATTCGAATATTCAAAGCTCCAACATGTAGTATAGAGCGCGGTTTCAAGAGACTAAGAATGGCGTTGAGTGGACTTGAATAGTTAGCATTGGTGGTTCATGATGATAAAGATACGTAATGAGGGTTAGTTGTGGGGGGGAGAAATATTAAGAGGTAAGACAGAGATTTGATCATGAACAAGATGATCCTGGGTGCTGCTAGAGGTTTGGGGGTAGTTGCCACTTCTCGGTTTTTCACAACGTGAAAGGTAGTATATCTAGTAGTGCGTAAAGCTACAAACTAACTTTAGTGTTGCTTAAACGGTGAACGAGAAATTGTAGTGACTTACGAAGTTGTAGAAAAAAGAATAAATGTTATTAGGACTTGTACGAATAGTGAAAGCCAGAGCGGCTTATGCCAATCTGGGCCACCTTTGGCGCCTTCGTGATGTAAGTCTGGCTGTAAAAGGTCGGATCTACAACGCGTCGGTGAGAGCAGTTCTGCTCTATGCTTGTGAAACCTGGTCTCTCCGAGTTGAGGACGTTAGACGACTCTCTGTGTTTGATCATCTCTGTCTCCGAAGGATTTCTGACATTCAGTGGCAACACCATGTCAGTAATGCAGAGGTTTGGCATCGTGTGTTCGGGCACAGAGATGATAATGCAATTGGTGTCACCATCTTGAAACACCGACTTCGGTGGTTTAGACATGTTCTACGAATGTCGTCCCAGAGAATTCCACGTCGTGCATTATTTGCCGACTCTGGGACTGGTTGGAAGAAGCGGAGAGGTAGTCAGTGCATGACATGGTGTCGTGGGATGAAAGAAAGCTGCAAAGGACTGGCTTGTGTTGGTCCTTCACGACTCCCTGGTCGGGGTCTGAGAGATGGTGCTACACAGTGGCTAGAGACGTTATCAGATATGGCTCAGAATAGAAGCCAGTGGCGATCCTGCTGTAACCTTCTTTTACTTTCTTCATAAAATGTGGTTGTGTCTCCCTTACCTGAAAGATTTCTTCTAATTGTACCTTTCCGTTCCCCCGTTACTACCACACTACCTTACACCAATCTCTTTGTTATTGTTCTCTTTTTTGCGCTCCTTAGTTTTTTTTCTATTTCTCTTCGAATTCTCATTGTTTTGTGTGGCGCATATATATTGGCACTCTCTTGTACCAATATTCATGTGTTCAAATAAATAAATAAAAATAAATGTATTTCCTTTTGTATGTTTATGAAGTTAATGAACTGAGTACATTTTCTAAAAATAAACTTACTATCTCACTGGATCGACTTTTCCCTGGTACATTAAAATCACTATTCACTCCGGACTTGAGAGTGTTAATAGAAATCGTACCATTATCTGATGGTGTACTGGAAGCATATATAGGTGCGCTAGGTTGAGTGGTAGACTGTTGAAGCATGAGATGTTCTTGAGAATTTTCTTGATATATGCCATCCTGAGTAGATGATGGATTAGCTCTCTGATAATGTTTAGATAAATATTGCGCTAACTCAGGATCCATTTCACTTGTATCGAGAACTGGGAGAAGGTGAGCGACTGTTGGCGATGCTGATGATGGTGAAGGTTTATTGTCATTGATAGTAGACTTTATTTGATTCTTTATTACAAATGATATAGAAAAATTTAATATTGACAAAATAGAATTTTCGTTCTTAATATACATAATTCAGTGTGGCGATTTAAACAGATCCCAATATACCACATGTTTCATTGAATGAGATTGGAAGAAAAATTTGTCGAAGTTGATTGGATACCTCCACATGAGATGCAATTAATGATATATTTGAAGTGATAGAAGCTCTATCGTTTCAAATCAGAGGATTCACACATTGACGAACTTGTTTCTAACACTCATATTACATGCTCATGAACAGTATTTTTGCAAGAACTAATCTCCAAGAGTAACTGTTCTAGCTGGTTAAGTTGTTGAGAGTTGTACATTAAATCATAAACCTGATACTATACGTGTTTAACAAATTAAATCCGTACAATAAGTTAATTTTCACCAAATATTTTAATCGCATCGTTACACCAGGCCAATGGTTTTAAAATATACAAATTATATTATCAGAATGGAAATATTTCAGGCTAATGACACGAATTATATAACTTTCATTTCATATTCGCTCGATGAAAGCCCAGAGTCATAACGGAGATTATTATTAATGTGATCATCAATATTACTTACGACTTGAAACCAGGTCTATAGATTACATCATTACGATATATAATCAGCCATAAAGTTACTGAGCTTTCAAAAACTTCACAATTCTAATAATTATCAGGCGAAATAATCAAACGGAACAAACAAATAAAAATTTGCTTGTTAAAAATAAATTAATTTGACATAAAACAAATGATTACGTCGTAGTCAGAGAATAAATACTGTAGGACTCATTGAACCAAGGTTAGGATTGTAAAAACAATTTAATGAAGTGAACCGTTTTAACTACCACACACAATCGCGGAGAGAAATGAAATGTCTATAACAGTTTTTATTTCATCCGGATTACTCATTAAATACCAAATATAGTGAGGAAGGAAATAAAGCAAAATATAATATACGGACTTACATTCCTCTGATTCGACTCTGCTTCGCTAGCACTTAAGGCTAAAGCCAATTCGAGATCCTCGTTTTCTTGCTGTTCCAGTTGTCGCTCTTTCTCACGTCGAAGCTGGGAGTTGGGACAAAGTTACATTCTATAAATCACTGAGTAATGAATACAGCTTGTTTCGAAGTAAAGTAGTTTAGAAAAAATGGCAACAAATAGTAACTGGTACAAACCTGAGGACAAACAAAAATTAGATGCTCGTATAAGAGTAACAGCTTCTATTCAATCCAATGTTGTATAGACAATTAAAATGATTGAAATGGGATATAAAAGTACACGGATAAACGAGTTATAATATTTAAAAGAAAATGAAAGTGAACTTTTTGCAGTAATCGGTTTACATTTTAACTAATATTCTTAAGGCCTGAAACTCAAGATATGCGATTATTAGTTCCAAAAGAGAAGCGGAGTGTTTTTTGAGCTTTGATATCAATTATAATTATTTCATTGGTTTTACCAGTACTAAATTTACCAAATAAGTATAGGTCACTATTCTCACAAATTCCGATTTTTTCCAGACACGATTAACTCCAATTACAGTTTTTATTTTAGCATATGGCTAAACAGTAAAACATAGAAGATAACAAGAACTACTTGGTCTGTTTCATAGTATATAATAAACTTCTTTAATAACATACATTTAGTCTGTCTTCATACTGCACTACTTGGCAACAGTACTGTTAAGTAGTCTCTTATGTCTCGGTTTTCTTAATAAGTCGGGACAAATATCGATTTTTTTATGGTTGATGATTCCTTCGCACTTGCATTTAGTTTTACAGTAACTTGAAAGGAGTAAATTTGAGATTCGATTTAATCCGCTAGTTGTATTTTTCTACTAACCAATCAAGACGAGTTCTTATGAACCGTTTGAACAACATACATGTTAGAGTACTAAGGTATGGATTACAATTCTTGTGTAAAAACTACTGAAACTTTAAAATTCCAAACTTTTGTAAGTGGGAATTTTTAATCTGGGACATATCGGCCAGAAGGTAAACGGATAGATAGAATGCAAACAATCCACCTTAACTAAATCGGACAGAGATATTCAAATCTACCGAGATTCACTATTCCAGTGACTTTCTTTTGATATATTGTATATGATATCACAATACTATTTCTGACAATCACCAGGTTACCGTTTTTATTTTACTACTAATGAGGTTAAAATAAGGAATATGTACACCTCCGCCCTCGGATTAACTATGTGAGAACATTTAATAGGGATCTCGAGCCAACGTGTGGTTGACATCTAAGTCAATGATCTTCCTACTTGGTATGATTGTGGTGTAATTTACCACCCGTAATGGTTTAGTCTAAGAGATAATAACTAAGTTTTAAAAAATGTCATTTATCTAGCTGATTCTAACTGCATACATATAACTATTTGTGTGGAATCTTAGAAAAGATATCACTGGTGTCTTTTTGCTACTACGTTTAGTAAAGTTGCTGATTATTATCATGTAGAATATTATTTATTACAACGAGCACGATAGCATCTCCACAGGACTTATGTTCAATCTGATCTGAACTCCATCAACAAGTGGATGTGTCGGAGAAGACAAAAAAATACAATTAACTCAAGTTCGTACAAAACCAAAACAACTATTAGCGTGATTCAGTAGAGGAATTCGTATTTGGTAGCTCTGGAATAAGGTCAATCCTTAGAAAAGACAAGTCATTAAAACAACGGTTACATGAGGTTAAATTATTACATACACCAATATCTTGTATTAATGTCCTGAAAACAGTGTGGAACCCTTGCCTAGAATTTCAGTTATGACTATCAGTGTATGTTGTATTACCTGTTGAAGTGAATAACATTTAGTTGAAAGCTTAATTTACTGAAACCAAGGATATTATTCGTGAGTTGAAATTAGGAAAGTATACAGGCGAAAATATCTTCACAGGAGAAGTAATGGGGAAAAAAGTCGATTATAATTAGAAGGAATCATGGCACTGATGACAAAAAGGTAACCAATCCTTTTCAACAGAAAACTTTGCACAACATGAAATCCGAAAATATCTCAAGAAATGTGTTACTAGGTACCAATACTAAAGATTTTGTTGATAGTTTCAAATAGATTGAGCATTGGGCAGAAAGTTAAAAATGATGAAATGATTATATTTTCGTGATATTCTAATAAAGATAAATTTGAATTTCTGGCGTTTCATGTCAGTCAGTCAGTAACAACGTAGAACTTCGTACGTACGTACGTCAGTTCGAGTTGCGTTTCATGACTTAGTGCAAGTCACTTCTTCAAAGTAAATAAATAACCGAATTAATTTAACACAATTTTAAGTAATATATAAGAACAAAGCAGTCACCTACAACTTCTGTGTTACAAGTCGAAAAGATTTGTCTGAACTTAATTGCCAGAAACTAAAAACTATGAATCAGGAGTGAAAATGAACTATAAATCCTGATATTTATAAGCTTATCTCATTAGGTGAAAGTAGCATTTTCAAGAAAACTGGTTAGCTGAAAGAAATACGTTGCTATCATCACATCTTATTACAACTGACTATTAAAATTATTGATGATTATTATGACCCCAATACTTTCCGTATATAGGAAGGCACAAAAGACCGACATATTTCCAAGATAGATTGTTATTATGATGTTTAAATCATAACACAAATCTAGTAAGCATTTCAATTAAAAAATCAAGCCACAGAAAATCTCTGAAAATAACCAATGACGAAAATAGATTTTAATTGATGAAAGTATCTACCTAAAGATAATAGAAAAGATAGAGTGATTGTAAAGGTAAAGAAAGTATGTTTCGCTGTATCTTTTTCTTACACTTCAATCGTTGCCTATATTATTATGTGAGACTTTTAAGACAGGGTTAGTTGAATGGGACGCTTCATGTTTATTTAAAAAGTATCATGTACTATTTCTGAGTGACAAAAAGGAAAAAAATACCATTACGCCAACATATGTAAAGACTTTGAAATGTTGTTTTATAATCAACTGATCTGCCAACAAACAAACATTTGTAGACATAAATATGGGAATCCAAACCACAAAAGTAGGGATCAGCTGTTACTTAAATAAAGTTTGTAGAAGGATCTCTTCATTATTAACTGACGCTCAGGACCCGACTTCAATTTACAGTCTATCCTACTTGACAAAAAACAAGTCGTAGAAAATGTAGTGCGAATGACTGTGTAGGTGCAAAAACCGGATTAGCTAGGACTGAACTTGGAATACCAACACTTGAGATTCAAGGGCAAAAAAATATTCAAAAACACGGAATCGCTAATCTTAAATGAAAAAAGATTACCTGATTCTCCCTCTCCACAGACCTTTTATCTTCAGAGTTATTTGAAGCAGAAGACAATCCTCTTACAAAACAGAAACAACAACGAAAATATTATGTTAAAATAAATTGAAAAAAATATATATGCCAGCATATGCTACTATCAATACTACCGACAGTAATAGTAATAATAATTTGTTAGTCTGTCATCTAGATCGTAGGACCAGGCACATATATGCATCACTCCAAGTTACCACACCTAATTAGCGCAACAAGATGAACACTGAATTCATAGAAATAGTCACCTCAATGGTAGTAATGTATAAAAGAAAGATTGCGTATAAGGATATAATACAGGAAGAAAGAATTAGTTGGTAGGAAGAAAGGTATAAAGCAATTTCGAACGCATGGTTTAAGGAAAGACAAAGAGTGCATACACCTATGCCATTGTGATCGATTCTGAGCCATGTCACCCACAGTCTCTAACCATTGGTTACGATAGTCATGCGGATCTCAACCAAGTAGTCTGCATCTACCAACATGACAAGAATTTAGTGACTTTATGGACTGATACCACATTTTGGTTTGGCTGCCCCTAACTTCCATCCGTCACCAACACTAGTCAGCATTATGCATCGTGGTAATCGGTTGTTGGGTATGCGCAATACTTGATCCAACCATCTCAATTGATGAAGATTCACAACCTCATCAACTGACTTACCATCATTCCCTAACACCTTGCGTCTAACCTCACTATCACTTACCCGATGATCCCAGCAGACGCGAACAATATTTCTAAGAAATCTGTGATCAAATACTAGTAACTCACGAGTATCTTTTACTCTTAATGGCCACGTTTCGCAGCCATAAAGTAGAACAGAACGAACTGCTGCGCAGTATACTCGTCCCTTGATTGATAGATGGATATCTTCCTTTCGCCATAGGTGACGTAAGTTGGCAAAAGGTACACCAGCATTTTGGATTCGTGCAGAGACTTCGTCAAACATCAATCCATTAGGTCTGATCGGACTCCAAGATAATATAAGTGAAGCTGTCGACGCGTTCGACTACTTCACTCCCTCTCCTTAGTTCAGGTGGTGACGCAGGCCAGTCCTGAAGCAACAATTCCTACTTAGAGGGAGAGAAACGCATCCCAAACATCCTGGCATTTTGCTTATTTTTACCAGAAGACTGCATTTTATCAGCGTCTTCACAAAACAGTATCATGTCATCGGCGTATTCTTAGGCAATAAGTGTACCTTCTGGTGGGAGATCAACTCCTGATAATTCATTGGAAGAGAACGTTATTTCCAGCAGTAGGTTTATGATGAAACTAAACAGAAATGGAGATGGTGGACAACCTTGCCGGACACCAATTGTGGTTGCAAATTCGATCCTACGTTGTAGCTGACTGACTTCTACCGCTGAATGGTTTTGCTACTTATAAACGCAATTTTCATCAATGTTGCAGAGATGTGTTTTGAGACGGATGACCCTTTGGAAAACAGTATATACAACGTTTATTATTCCTACAGGTTGATATAAGCAGAAAAAGCAAGGAAGATTATTGCACAGTATATCGTAGTAAGGAAAATGAAAGTAAATTCACCATTCGCTTCAGCAGTTTTGGCAAATATTACTGCAACTCAAGTGAATATATAAATATACAGGAACGCGTTACTGTCAACGATCATTAATCGATATAATAAATAAAATCATAATGTCTACAGAATGACATGTTTATGGGCAATTACCTGTTAACTGATTCAAAGCACAAATCACAAACACGCACTTCCTTCTCAATGCCGAATTCAGGCAGAATGGCGCGCGATGAGGTACACTCACCACAAAACACTTGACCACACTTACGACAGTGATGCTGGAGAAAATTAAGGTAACGATATGTTTGAAAAAGATTACTAAGATGAAAACATAACATGAAAAAGTACACAAGGGGACATATTAACTAAAATTACCATGAGGGATCTACAAGGAAAATGGATTCGTCAGATTTGAGAATATCCAGCTTCCCGAATGGAAGTAGACTGATCGGCGTTCAAACTCGAGACCTAGTAGATGGATGTATAACAACTTAACAATTAAGCTACCGGTAAGGTAGCGAGTTTATTAAATCAACTACTGTAAAAAATGACTCTAAACTGACAATTTTCTGAGCCAAAAGCAAATATGGGTGAAGGATTCAATATATAAGGCCATAACTATCATTTAAAATCGTAGATCTGAAACTTATGAACCAATCTGTAGTAAGTCTGTAATTTTTTCGGCACGAATATCACAATGAATTATGCTTTTATTGACACCCAGTTATCTAGACATTTTAGAATCAAGCTCAAATGATCAACATAATGTGTAATTCAGATTCTTACGCTTTAATGTATGTGTTTGTATTGTTATTGATATTTAGATATTACAAAAAAACTTGACTAAATGAGTAAAATAAACATAAAGTGAAGCGATGAAAGTTTTTAGTCTTATCAGCCAATTTTTCTTATCGTAATCTAGTACATTACGCCAAACCTCAGGATTACACAAGGTATGCTTCCCGGAGAATTATGGTTAAACAATAGAGGCCAGTGAACTTTCATCACTTACATATGCCATAATACAAAGGTGAATGCTGAACAGTATCCCCATAGCCTAGATGGGAGCTTTATTTTTTCGTGTCGAGATATCGTTAGCCATCAACCTAATATGGCTAATGACACTTCCAAGATAAGCGAGGTAGTGGATGTGATCTAATTCACTATCTATGTTTAAACTGGGCAATGATACAGACAAGTTGTGGGGCTACAACTAACATTTCGTGGGAGAGGAACTTATCCCATGATAGCTCTGTCTGCAGCCCTTCAGGATTACCGCTCATACCAAAGCCGAATAAAGAACAAGGGTTAAGCAACCTCATCCTGTAGAAAACAACCTTGCTGAAAAAACGACTATCATAAAAAAGATTTAAAACATTTAACCCCCCCCCAGGTTTTAAAGGGTATTTATTTAGAAAGGTTATAACACCTCATGTTGAAAGTCAAGATTCTCAGGAAATCGGAGAACCACAGTAACAATTAATATAGATACATGCAATATTCGGACAGTGTGAGGACCACTCAAAAAGCTGTGGAAATAAGAGAATACAAACTGGCAGTGCTTAGAATTAGTGATACCCATTGGACTCAAAGTAAACAAAAAAGTCAGCTTCGAGAGAGCTTGTGTTGTGTTCTAGTTATGCAGAAGAAATAGCCTCATGCAAACAAGATGTTGCACTGATGCTCTACGAGGAAGCGCGGAAAGCGCTTATAGGATGAGGAACTCAAGGATATAGGACTATGTCGTTTGCGTGTTTCAAGTTGATGAATGAATCACCTAGTAGGAGACTTATATTTGGGAAGTCAAACGAAGAAAGAGTTATCCCTAAAAGGTGTGGCAACTCGAACTGATGTACGTACATACGAAGTTCTACGTTGTTACTGACTGACTGATCCTTATGATAAAGACACACAAAAATGATGAGTGGTTTGCCTTGACTAACACCGCTTGATATAACCAGTTTAGAAAAGAGTTGACTATAGGCGGTGACTCGACCACAGCGGCAAAGCAGCAAGACCAGACAACATTCCAGTAGAGGCACTGGAAGCGAATGTAGCAGTAACTGCAAACATGTTCCACATTCTCTTCAGCAAGATTTGGGATGAAGAACAAGTACCAGCAGCCTGGAAAGAAGGACACCTGATCAAGATACCAAAGAAAGGCGATCTTACTAAGTGTGAGAACTACAGAGGTATCACTCTTCTCTCAATACCAGGAATAGTCTTCAACAGGGCATTGTTAAACAGAATGAAGCACTCTGTAGACGCCCAGCTTCGAGACCGACAGGCTGGATTCCGTAAGGATAGATCGTGTACAGACCAAATCGCAACACCACGGATCATTATGGAACAATCAATTGAATGAAATTCATCACTCTACATCAATTCCATTGACTAGAAGAAAGCATTTGATAGCGTAGGCATGACAACACTATGGAAGCTTCTTCGACACTACGGCGTGCCTCAGAAGATTGTCAATATCATACGGAATTCCTATGGGTTAAACTGTGTCAGGCAAAGTTGATTACTCTCACCCTGGATTATGAAGACGTCAACATCTGGGGGGAAGCACGGGATACAGTGTACAGCTGAGATGCGGCTAGACGATCTAGACTTCGCAGATGATCTGGCTCTTCTATCGCACACGCAACAAGTGCAGGAGACGACCAGTGTAGCAGCAGTAGGTCCCCACACATACAAAGGGGAAAGCAAGATTCTTCGATACAACACAACATGTACCAATCGAATCACAATTGACGGAGAAACTTTGAAGGATGCAGATGTGAAGGAGCGGATCGGCAAAGCAAGAGTAACATACTTACAACTGAAGAACATCTAGAACTCAAAACAATTGTCAACCAACACCAAGGTCAGAATTTCCAATACAAATTTCAAGACAGTTCTACTGTATGCGGCGGAAACCTGGAGAACTAGAGAAGCCATCAACCAGAAGATACAAGTGCTTATTAACAATTGTCCACGACAAATACTTCGGATCCGTTGGGCAGACACTATCAGCAACAACTTACTGGGGAAGGGAACAAACCAGATTCCAGTGGGAGAAGTAATCAGGAAGAAGCGCTGGAAGTGAATACGACACACATTGAGGAAAGCAGCCAACCGCGTCATAAGGCAAGCTCTCGCCTGGGATCCTCAAGGCCAGAGGATAAGAGGAAGACCGAGAAACGGAGACAGACATAAGAATGAACAAAAATTGGGCAGAAATAGAAAGGCCCAGGACAGAATGGGTTGGAGAATGTTGGTCGGCGACCTATGCTCAATGGTTGTAACAGGCGTAAGTAAGTAAGGATGTATAGTACATCTATAATATTCGTGTTACGACTGCGTCCCCCAAATTCGCTCATCCCTAACTTGATTCTGGCATAATGAAATAAGCTTTCCACGTTAAGTTCACTGTAACGATTACAGTAGGATTTTCTACTTTCTAGCATTAAAAAAATTTCGAAGAAACTGCTACTGGTTTGTACGACAGACTGCATGATACAATCGATTTGACTGGAAATGTTTGATAAATAATGATGGTCCTTGAAGGCTGTCAAATCAAATTTTAGTTGATAATATATTACCGACCTATGGTGCTATTAGAAATAATTAGTCCAAGTTATTCTAGTTACCATACTAAAACAGACGATAGCTAGCACTAATGAACAATAAGCTTTGGATTGTTTGTTGGTTTTTGTCGTCCCTTACTACTCCTCACCTGTGGAGTTTAGCCGTATTTGGTGTGAGGCAGTTATCTACTGAAAATAATAGGTGGTCGCGCACTATTATATAACATTTTAGTTTATTGGCATCCACAAGCACAATGTATGAAACCTCTCACTTGGTTATGAAAATATTTCTTGGACAATATTGGATTTTACGTCAAGCATATGCATAGTTACGGATATTTCGAACCCAAAGGTTTATATAGGAAACTGAGTCAGCATGCAAACGCTCCTCACAAGTGCACAAAGTTGACTTAAAAACCGAAAAATATGCCATTTAAGTGAAAAGCATGTTTCAATCAAGTGACTTGATAATCGAAATAGTCGATAAAGATATGCAGATATCTTTTTTTACCTTGCAGTTAGCGCCGCGGAAAGTACCTGTTTGAGTCAGTTATCGGACTTCAATAAGTTCCCCTACACCGACCAATAATGACGTATAACTCAAGAAAAACAGCCATTTTACCGATAAGATATCAGAATACTACATAAGATGTAGTTTACTGGTAAACAAGCGATATTTATATGCACTTCCAGTTACGCACGATAAAAGACTTTTATACCAACCAATCAGATCAAGTTAATGGAGACTGGAGTATTACTGTGACAACACACTGATATAAAACTTTAAGCTTTTAGTAAAAATAGAATAAACCCCTACTTTACGCCTGAACGTAGTAAATGCGGACTTGCATCGATGGCATGCATTTCCTTCCTTCCAACTTGGAGCACAAACTACACTGAACATAGCAGCACTCTCTGAGAACTCCGGAAAAATGTAGCCAGCGTTTTTAAGGTTTTCATAAGCATCTATCACAGCAACGTAGCCAGGCTTATCACGAAAAACATACGCCCAATTTTGAAGACACTCTAGAAGCTTTGCACGAACGTCTGGGGATGTCTAAAAAGCGTCAAAGTCTATCAAATAACATACATCAACCATCCCAACAAGCTGCTGCATAAAGTCAGTGCTACAAACTTCTTCATGAACAGGTGTACCACAGTTCTTCATTAATGACTCCAGCACCTACAGTGTAAGTTTATGAGAAAGAGATTACATCGAATGAGTGCAGAACGACGTTTGGGTTGTCACACTGAAGACGTTTCTTTAAACACTGAACCGCATATTTAGGCCTTCATTAGTTTGTAATTACGTGAAGTATTAACCTACGAAATCTCTTGACTACGCACGTTATCGCAAACTGCAATGGTACTTTCAATGTCTGATTCAATCAGCATTTCACTGGTCGCCTTCTCTATAAATTCAAGAATCTTCATTTTATTTACAGTATGACTTACCAATCAGCTTGTCAAACTTGGAACGTTTGAAGAAATCCATACTTAGCTATTTCCGGAAGTTACTGAGCAACGCCAAATTCGAATTTGGCAACATTAGTACCTGAAATCTTCAAATAGTTCAAATGATTGTGGACGGAATAGAAGAACCTTCCACTTAACGGGCTTCCGTGTATAGTAGCAGTGGAACAACAATATCTTCAGGCAGGAACCTAGGTATGTTAACTATAATAGAGGAAAAAAATTAATTGGCTTCGCGCGCGTTTCAAAAGGGCAGTGAATTTGTACTTGTTGTGATTATCCTTGCTTATGTGTAGTTGTCGCATCAAATGCGTTCTTGGTCTATATCAAAGTAATTTAGTTAAGGTTTAAAAGCTGGCTTAAGTTTGTCTTGTGGTACCCTTTTACTCACTGACTGACACGTGTTCATACTGTGATCATATTGTTTTACACCTTAATTTGACTAAAATGGTTGGTAGTACTCACAAATGTGGACAGACAAACTGTTTGTTCCCTGTGGAGGAATGAATGCAGTTCGGTGAACGCAAAAAGTGGTTCCATAAAATATGAACCCGTTCAAGTCCCACCGCATACAAAAGATGTTAGAAGTCTAACTCACATTGGCTTTGCATGTTTTGCTATGCAAATAAAACGTTACTAATACAGGAGGCTATGAGCCTATTGGCTTTGGCCTGTAAGAAGAACGATGGCGCATGCGCTGATAACATGAGCACTGACAGTGACGAATGTGTCAGAGTAGTGTCTGCTGTTAAGAGATGCCTCAAACTCCCGAATTTGACTGACGGAAAAGCGAAATCTCCGTTAATATCAAGGAGGGATGTAGTACCACCTGACATTGGTAATCATGCACCTCTAGTGGAAACTGAAGATCTGGATAAAACCGTCACCACTCCAAATAGTTCCAGTGTCCTGAGGGATGAAAAATGAACTACAGTACGGAGAAAACGAAACGAAAAAGCCGTAGGCAGTACGCAGCTGGTTAGCAAGTCATTGGTGGACTCCCATTGTGATTCAAAAAATACACTATCAAAGTATGATAGTAGGAGGGAAACCTACCCTGGCGTGATGACTGAGAAGGAGAATCCAATCTCATAGCATATTATTGTGAGAAGATTGCTGGAGTCAAACGACCCTGATCCCAAAATTAGACACGCGCATGATTTAGAGAAGCTGGGAGAATATATTCGTAGTATATTGCCAGATAACTCTAAAGGAGTTCAGGTCAAAAACTGGTTAGAATAGGCAAGAGGACCGAGGACAATGCTGAACCCCGACCGTGAAGACTCCTTAAGGTAATCCTAGGGTCGGAGAAGCAACGTGATCTCCTGTTAAGTAGCGCTCGTAGTCACGACAATTCCGACATCCGAGTTAGACCTGATATGTCTCTTGAATATAGAATAAAAAGGAAGAAAGCACTATCTGAACTAGAAACCCGTCGACAAAACGGTGAGGAAAATCTCCGGTTAGTGGGTTTTCGGATAGTCAGGTCTTGGAAGGGAATGCTACCAAGGCCTGTGTGGATAGGCCGTTCTATCCAGGAGTTTTATATGCCAACGCTCATAGTCTAAGAAATAAGTTCTATGAACTAAAAGCATTAGTGGACAAATTAAGGCCACTCATTGTAGCAGTGACAGAAACTTGGTTAGTCCATGACTTAGACATTACTCCAGAATTATCCGGATACGATTACCTAAGTAGTGATAGACATAGATGTAGAAAGGGAGGTGGCGTCCTTTTATATATATAATAATATAAATATCCGCTCCTCTGCTAGCGAATCCCATGATAGCGGTATTTGTAAAGTCATTAGCTGTAAATTGGCTTTCGTATGTGGTACATTTATGCTCGGTGTCATCTATCGCAGCCCAATCTGCTTAGCTGATGACTTTATTTTAGAGCATATTCAGCTATGGAGTGCAAATAACAGATTCTTGATAATAGGAGACTTTAATGCACCTGATATTAATTGGACTGAGATGACCACGGAAGGATCTATAAACTACTTTGATAGCAGGTTCCTGATAACAATAATGTAGCATGCACTAGTGCAGCATGTATCCAAACCCACACGTTTTGGTGCTAACCAAGGTTCTCTGTTGGACTTGGTAATCACTCATGAGACTGAAGATATTGTCGACCTAAATATTCTTCCACCGTTAGTGAACAGCGATCACGCTGTTTTGTCATTCACGTTTAGAACTAGGGACGTGATATACAATCAGGTTACACCCCGCCTAAATGTATGGAAAGCTAACATATCAGCTATTCAGGAATGCGCTGCTAAGACAGATTGATTTGTAGATACTAGCTTATCAGTTGAAGAAGCATGGTCTGTATTTAAAGGTAGGTGTAGTTTAGTTACGTCCTCGTTCATAACATACCTGGTACCGCGAAGACCGAATAACAGTCCACCACGGATAACTATAATAGTCAGGAAGCCCCTTAGAAAAAGGAAGAAGCACTGGAATATGTTCATCTCTACTGGCTTAGAACAATACAAATCCAGTTATTGTAAGATTAAGAATGCCTGTAAAGCGTTAATAAGTAAGACTAGACGATCATATGAAAAAACAATTGATTAGGGATCCTAGATATAGTCCAAAACGGTTATTCTCGTACATAAAAAGGCGAACTCAGAGAAGCGATGGAATTCCATCACTTTTGATACAAGAATATCCGTTAATCTTGGCAAGAAATGATACCGAAAAAGCTGAAGCTTTATCGGAATATTTCAGTAAAGTGTTTTCTATCAGTAATGAAGAACGACCAACGATTCATTGTGGTCGTGGCAGCTCGCTGATGGACCCTGTAGTCATCGAGAAAGGTACTGTCTTAAGGCTACTTCAGCATTTCAAATCCAATAAGTCCAGTGGTCCTGATTATATTCATCCTAGGATTATGAAAGCCATATCAGATGTAATTGCTGAACCATTAACGATACTGTTTGCCATGTCTCTGAGGCAGTCCAGACTGCCAAGAGACTGGAAAGACACTATAATAAGTCCGCTGTATAAGGTTGGGAGTAGGGATTTAATCAGTAACTATAGACCAGTTAGCTTAACCAGTGCGGCTGTAAAATTGATGGAAAAAATCATTCGAATATCTGTTATAAACTATGTTGAAGGGCATAATCTTCTCCACAAGGAACAATATGGTTTTCGGAGAGGCCTATCATCCTTGACAAATCTTCTCATTGCAAGAGAAGTTTGGGCTGCTGCAAAAGATCGGAATATTCATGTGGATGTGATCTTCATAGATCTAAGTAAGGCCTTTGATAAGGTCTCCTATTCTGGTCTTAAATTCAAACTGGAACGTTTTGGAATCCATTATACAGTCGTAGATTGGATAAGTAACTTTCTCCATGACAGGAGACAAAGGGGAAAGGTTAATGGAGCTCCCTCCTCGTAGGTACCTGTAAAAAGTTGAGTTCCCCAAGGTACAATCCTCTTCTCTTTTTACTTTATGCAAATGAATTACCAACTGTAGCAAAACCATCCAATCTACTCTTCGCTGATGAGATAAAAATTTAGAGACCCATACACAGTATGTCGGATAGAATAGTATTACAGGGTGATCTTAGCTCATTAGTGACATGGCTGGACAGGTGGTCACTAAAAGTAAATCCTAATAAGAGTGTGATGATGCAATTAAATAACTATGATGAATCGTATCACTATACAATATGTGGATTCGTGCTACACAAAGTAAGGAACTATAAAGATTTAGGAGTCATATTAAGCAGCGATCTCAAAACCCCTATTCACTGTAAGGCTGCTGCTGCGAAAGGCTATGAGGTATTATGGTCTGTTCGTAGGTCTTTCCAGTATTTAGATGATAAAATGTTTGGATTATTATACCCCATTTATGTGTGACCACATTTAGAATATGGGATTCAAGCAGCGAGTCCTTGTTTCAAAAATGAAGCAGATATGCTGGAAGGAGTCCAACGACGAGGTACTAAGATGGTAAAAGGTTTATCTGGCCTATCTTATAAAGACAGACTGAGACAACTTAACTTAATTCTGTTATCTTACCGTAGAATACGGGGTGATCTAATATCGACTTATCGTACACTGAACGATGACCTTGGTATTAATATGTCTTATCTTCTACTTTTGTCTAGGACTGATCATTTGAGAGGACGTTCGAAGAAAGTCCAAAAACCAAGATCAAATCGTTTACGTCTGGAGCTTTGTTTCTCGCACCGAGCAGTAAATGACTGGAACTCTCTACCGGAACACGTAATATCAGCACCTTCTGTTAATATATTCGAAACGAGATTGGTGTTACGGGAGAACTGTAGACATTTGGCTGATTAAAATCTCTTCATTGTATATTAATAATTTTATTGTGTTTTTGGGTGTATTTGTTTTACTTAACTTTTGAACTTGTTTGTTTATATCATTATTTTTAGACAATTTGGTTTCTCTTTGTCATTGGTTTGGTATTTGGGAGCTTTTGCTCCGGGAACCTACAAAATTGAAGGTTTGTTTTGTAATTGTTATAATTACTGTTGTTAGAACGACATTTGGGTCGACTAATTGTGACTTGCGAATAAACTTTGGTATCTAAATTGGAGTTTGGTTGTATTGTTAATTTGGGTTTGTACATTGCAAATAGACCGATATACCGTAATTCAATGACGGGAACGAGAAAAACCTTGGATGTAACATAAACTTCTTCAATTATTGGTTCTGTGTTGATACCTTGGATTTGTTTGAGCATTTTGAGTCCAATTTCCTGATCCTATTGGTCGATTTCGTTTGGAATAATTCAGAATTGTTTCGGTAACCGATTTTTTGGAACAGGGAATACGATGGAAACGCGAAGCAAAAGGCCGAAGAAAAATGACGAAATGGATGGTAAAATTTCTAAAGCTGTTTCTGGTATGTCTGATGTTAATGATGATAAATGTGATGATGTTAGTATTAATAGTATGTCCTCTGGTCAGCTTAGTACTTCTAGACTAAGGTTAGGTAAGGCATTACTAAGGAAGAAGAATTTATAAAGGAGACTTGAATTAGAACGGCAGCTTAAGATGTTAGATCTCCAAGAACAGGTTGATATGGCTGAATTAGAATGTAAGATCATGGAGGACGACAACCAACTGCCCGTAGACAAATGTGGGATAAATGCTAAGGTGGAAAGATAATTTGATTGCGATACTGGGTGTAATACTCATTCAATGGAGGTATTTAACATCTCAAAAGGCGATTGAGTTGATGGATTGAAGGATACGTCACATACTATGGTTAAT